ATGGTGAGCTTCTCATCCACTGTCATATATTTTCTGTATAATTATAAATGCATACTTACATATTTTTGCATAGAAAGCACTTATCATTTTTAAAAAAATATAAATATTTAAGAGATGAAATCTGGATAAATTAAAATTAATCACTGGAGTTGAAATATCATAAGAGAATGCCATTTTCCTATTAATAACAATTTCAGTAATATCCATAAATAGTCAGAATGTTACCAAAAACAGGGAATAGATTTGAGACCATTCAAAGCCATGGAAAATTAAAAGTGTTATTCCAGTGAGAGCCTAGGATGAATGAGCCATTTAGTCATGTTAGTTCTTGAGGTTGAAGAGGGAATTCAGCACTTCTTTGGTGTGAATGGAATTTTAGATACCAAGGGCTGAGTACTTATTTATGTTTAGCCATGCAGAGCCTTTCTAGTACATTATGTAAAGTGTTGTAGAAACCATTATAAAGATCAACAGAACCAGTTTTCTCATGGAACATTATATGTCTTAATTAGTGTATGATGCAGCACACAGTATCATCTAATGAAAAATTTTGCAGTCATGCAGACTTAAACATGTAGGTGCCTGCTATTCATGTCTGAAGAGAAAATAATATGTTAATTACGAAAATGAAACTTATTGACATGTGGCACAGAAAGTACTGGTTTATCTACATGGTAATGGATAATACTTGTAAAGACTTTCTCCAGATCTCTCTGAAGCTCCTGGCAATCTTTCCAGGACTGTGCCTACTGAAAGGGCCAAACTAATGAGGGAGAAGTAGCATTTAACTGTTGTGTTCACCACTCTGTGTCCCCAAAAGAAAAGCTGTTACCACTCACAGTAACCTCCAGAAGGATTAGGTAGGCTGTAAGTAGTGTGTTGAGTGGCTTATTTGTAGTTCTTCTGTACAGAATTGGACCATTGTAGTAATTCTTTACCTAGTTCTGGTGAAAGTCTTCCCTTCTGTTGTGCTTTTTAACATACGAATGTAGATGTAGCCAGAAAGGGACAGTTTAGACCTTGCTGCAACTCAAGATATTAAGGAAAATCTATGGTAGAACTGAGTCCAAGGCTTAGCATCTTGAGTCTTAACAGAGGGAATTCCTCTGAGGGACAATTTGGAAAGATTTATTTCACATCCTTCTTTTTACTTTGTCTCAACCAGAAGTTTTGAGCATTCTCTCCATAAAGAGAGGGAAACAAAATAGAAGAAGTAGTTTTTACAAGTGTTGTTGTGGTTTGTATTCCAGTTAAAAAATCCTCAGCTTTTGTTA